GCCCCCACCCCGCCATTTTGTTTTTTTTTTGGGGGGGGGGGGGGGGGGGGGTGTAGGGTTTAGGGTTTAGGGTTTAGGGTTTAGGGTTTAGGGTTTAGGGTTTAGGGTTTAGGGTTTAGGGTTTAGGGTTTAGGGGTCGGCAAGAAGCAAAGCAAGCAATTAGGTGAACCTTTAGTTTTGGGGTGCCATAAGCTTCACAAAAGCTCAGCGTCACCTTTTCTCGCTCAGAAGACTCTACCAGTGAGTTGGGGCTGCCGGGTTGAGGTAAACCCTAAACCCTAAACCCTAAACCCTGAACCCTAAACCCTAAACCCTAAACCCTAAACCCAAAACCCTAAACCCTAAACCCTAAACCCTAAGCCCTAAGCCCTAAACCCTAAACCCTAAGCCTGCAAAAAGCATGCTGCTGCCGTCCAAGGCGGTTCATGGCCATGAGGGCAGTAACTGCCGACCAGAGCCTTTCTCTAGGTAGGCCCGGCTTAGGATTTAGGGTTTAGGGTTTAGGGTTTCGGGTTTCGGGTTTAGGGTTTCAGGTTTCAGGTTTAGGGTTTTTAGGGTGTAGGGTGTAGGGATTAGGGTCTTGGGACATTTTCTATTTTCGCTTACTTGAGTTTAAGAGGATCATCTACAGAAGTTTTTTTTAGATGGTTTTAAAGGCCCTCCTCGCCTCTTATCAGTCAGCTTGCATCCGTCGCTGCCGCTGCCATGGCCAAGATTTCGGTTCTCATCTGTGTGCTCCTGGTTGTCATCGTGGCCGCCCGTTCCTTGGTGGCGCTGTCTGATCCTTAGTAGCTGAATGAGTACACTTTACACTTTTTTGGGAGACTCTAACATCAAAACCCTAAACCCTAAACCCTAAACCCTAAGCAACCAAGGATCTGGACCTGTCCGTTTTGGATGCTGCTGGCAGTGAGGGTGGCGACCTGTGGCCGGCAAAGGTAGCACGCTTGCTGCTGCGCGCCGTTGCGGCCTGCTTGTGGTGTGGGACGCTGTACTGCTCATACAGCCGCTGGGCTTTCGAAGAGGAGCTCGTCGTTGGAGGTTTAGGGTTTAGGGTTTAGGGTTTAGGGTTTAGGGTTTAGGGTTAGGGTTTAGGGTTTAGGGTCTAGGGTTTAACGTTTAGGGTTTAGTGTTTAGGGTAGGGCTTACGGTTTAGGGTTATAGGGTTTAGTGTTTAGGGTTAGGGTTTAGGGGCTGAAAGGACGCAAGGATTGCCTAAGGTGGTTCTCCGGGTTCGGCTGTCGTATTCATCAAAGTGGCGGACTACGGACTATGGCGTTTGGAAGCTGTTCCTCAAGACCCGAAACCCGAACTTAAGCTCTAATTTTGACAATCCTTATTAAAAGGGAGCCCGCAAAGGAACCTTATCTTCGGGAAGCCCACATAGCTTCTTCTATCCTAGGAGCCCAACGAACCCACTTGCTCCTTTGTGTTTGGTTTAGAGCTTTTGCTTTACGCTTGAGGCTTGAGGCTTTAGGCTTTAGGCTTTAGGCTTTAGGCTTTAGGCTTTAGGCTTTAGGCTTTAGGGTGTAGGGCTTGGGGTTTAGGGTTTAGGGAATAGGGTTTTTGCTACTTCTAAGCGCTCAGTCTTTTCGTGTCGTCGTGGTCCACGCCCGGCACGGCTGTATAGGGTTGCGACCTTCCTAAACCCTAATACACCCTACACCCAGAGGCTCCAAAACCCCCGAATCAAGGGAAGATTCCTTAAATCATATAAGGAACACTTTCATATTTCAAGGAATATTCCTTAAGTAGAGGGGAATTGGAGTCCCTGGCACCCTAAACCCTGGCACCCCTAAACCCTAAACCCTAAACCCTAAACCCTAAACCCTAAACCCTAAACCCTAAACCCTAAACCCTCCTAAGGTGACACCAGGCCCTTGGCCGTCGTGCACCGCGGAAGGACAGTGCACGTGCGTCATCTGGGGCGATTCATTACCTTCACGTCGCCAGGAAGCGCAGTGGTTAGGGTTTAGGTTTAGGGTTCAGGGTTTAGGGGTTTAGGGGTTTAGGGGTTTAGGGGTTTAGGGGTTTAGGGGTTTAGGGGTTTAGGGGTTTAGGGGTTTAGGGTTTTAGGGGTTTAGGGGTTTAGGGGTTTAGGGGTGTCGGGGTTTAGGGGTTTAGGGTTTAGGGGTTTTGGGTCCTTTGTGATACATACACAGAGATACAAGCAAAGGCACCGCAAACCCTTAACGCTTATCATTTATTTTTGGTACTGAGCTACCCAGGCTTTGGTGCAACTGCGTCTTGGCGTTGCCCCTCGGCTTTCAGATGAGCCCTCACCCAACACTTTCAAGAATGGAAGGGTTTCAGGGCTACTTGCGTAATGGCAGCACTATCTTGTAGGCTTGTTTCGGAATGATGTGGAGTGGACCGTATGCACAACCAGCCCTCCCATGCAAAACTAATCTTGTTCTGAGAGATTCAAAGTGGAATACGTGTCTCCATGGTGTTTGTGAAAGGTATTGGCTCACGAGCACATTGGCTGCCTTCTTATTGTTGTTCGGTCACGATGTGCCGACAGTGCCTCAGCTGCAGTGCGGACCGCAATAGCAAGCACTTTCCGTGCGCTCACCAGGCAATTGTACGGTGTGTGTGTGTGTGTGAGAGTGTGTGTGTGAGAGTGTGTGTGTGTGTGTATGTGTGTGTGAGAGTGTGTGTGTGTGTGTGTGTGTATGTGTGTGTGTGTGTGTCTTTGTGTGTGTCTTTGTGTGTGTGTGTGTGTGTTCGCGCGAGGGGTGCTGTTTTAAGTTAGGTCCCGTACAGGTAACATACAAAGGGCTCTGTTAAACGCATGGACCTAAAGTGAACATGCCAATCCTTGTGAACATGCATTGCAAGTACGTGGCTCCCCAAGGAGGGTTTAGGGTTTCCACGCCAGCCCAACGCTAGGAAGCTGACCACACCCTTCGTGTGAACGGTAAGTTCAAGGGACCTGACTCTTGAAGGTTCATGGGTAGTCCTCAGTCGGCCTCTAAGTGCCTGAAACAAGGTTTAACCATTGAGAACTATAGATACCCTCCTTATCACCCTCGGTTATAAGTACCCATGAGCCTCCAGGTAGTTTAGGGTTGAGGCCTGAACCCTAAACCCTAACCCCTGAACCCTAAACCCGCAGCCCTAAACCCTAAACTCTTGGCTCCCCCACACCCAGGTCTTGAGCCGACTCACCTTGCTGCTTTGGCAGATTGCCGGCCCGCTCTCCTGGTCGCCAAGTTGCCGTTGAGGCTTAGGGTTTGGGGCTTAGGGTTTAGGGTTTAGGGTTTAGGGTTTTGGGTTTAGGGTTTAGGGTTTAGTCGTTGAGGGCTTAGGGTTTAGGGTTTTGGGTCTTGTCGGGGGAAGTGGCTCAGGTTGGTGGGATTTTAAGCTCCTGCAGGTCCCCGAACCCTAAACTCTAACCCAGAAACCTCTCAATCTCTAAATCCCTCAACTCCCAAACGCACCTCAAACACCCTTACTAACCCCCAAACCCTAAAACCCTAAAACCCTCAAACCCTAAAACCCTAAAACCCTAAAACCCTAAAACCCGAAAACCCGAAAACCCTAAAACCCTAAAACCCTAAAACCCTAAACCCTAAACCCTAAACCCTATAAACCCTAAACCCTAAGCCCTAAACCCTAAACCCTAAACCCTAAACCGATTAAGTTTACCAAACCATAAAACCTAAAACCCTAAACCTAAAACCCCCCCCCCCCCCCCTTGAGCCGAGGCTGGTGTCCATCGTGGTGACCTTCGTCCTGCTGCCGGCGGCTTATCGCCAGGAGCCCGAGAAGGTCGACGTATTGCTGGGCTGGAGGCCTCAGGTGCTACACAACGGAGCCCGGGATTCTACATTGGGGTTTAGGGTTGCGGGTTTAAGGTTTAGGGTTGGGATTCTACGATTAAGAACCCCCCCCCTGCAGCCTGGGAATTGGGGTTTTGGGGTTTTGGGGTTTTGGGGTTTTGGGGTTTAGGGTTTGGGGTTTATGGGTTTAGGGTTTGGGACCTTTGGGGTTTGGGACTTTTAGGGTTAAAGCTTATGAGGCAGAACGATGGGCAACTCCAGGCGAATAGGGGACGTCCAACTGAGTTTCTGCACATGTGCAATCCCCCCCAACCCTAGACCGAAGTTATTGCCCGACCTGAGTTAGTCAACAACAATGCCTTTCTCAACACACTTCGATAGTGCTCGTGGTAAGAGGTGCTGCTATTTTTCGGAGACTCCCGTATGAGTAGTGTCCCGAGTGATCTGCCCCGGAATAGCACAGCACCCATGTCAAGTATCACACGGACCCTACTCTCCCAAAAGCCAGGGTTAAGGGTTTGGGGTGTAGGGTCCCTAAACCCTAAACCCTAAACCCTAAACCCTAAACCCTAAACCCTAAACCCTAAACCCTAAACCCTAAACCCTAAACCCTAAACCCTAAACCCTAAACCCTAAACCCTAAATACCCTACACCCTACACCCTACACCTCAACGATGAGAAGTCCGAGGATACATCCTTTTCTGCGCGGCGGAACTGGTACTGTCCCGGCCTCCCATGGTCTGGGCCCTCTTTCCGACGATGCTCTTGTTCCTTACGGTTGGTTCAGGGTTTAGGGTTTAGGGTTTAGGGTTTAGGGTTTAGGGTTTAGGGTTTAGGGTTTAGGGTTAGGGTTTAGGGTTTAGGGTTTAGGGCACCCTATATAAACCCTTAAAGGGTATGTGTAGGGAATGGGGGAATGAGGGGCCCAAGATAGTCCCTTAAAAGGTAAATAAATAAATAACTAAATAAATAAATAATAATATATATAT